CTTTTGCCCTACCCAGGACGTGGGGACTTTCTTGCCTTTTGGGAGGTCTGAGGTCTTCTGCCAGCGTTCAGTAGATGTTCTGTAGGAGCTGTTCCACATGTAGATGTATTTTTGATGTATTTGTTGGGAGGAAGGTGATCTCCACGTCTTACTCCTCTGCCATTTTGAAGGTCCTCCTCTTCTTAGTTTTTAGTATTAAAGATTTTCTCTTTTAATGACGCATGCAGAGTCTTTGTATTGCACAATGTGAAGGAGTGCATTCATATTGTAATTAATGCTGGAATGCTGAAGCTCTGAATGCACTCATACACAGGCATGAATCCTCAAGAAGAGATGAAAGCAGATGAGAGAAGTCAACAAAATATGGGGATGCTCACAATCCAGCATTGATGTTGCAGAATGGACAACATTCCTCCTAGTTGTGATACTGTGATCCAGGCTCCTTTCATTTGGGGTCTTTCCATTTTTCACCACATGGCTACTGAGTCTATCCTAGGAGCTTTCTCTAGTCCATCCAGCTCACCTTTAATTTATTTGATCAGAATCAGCACAGTGGATCCCAGGTGATGGTTTTTCACATGCACTTTTTGAAACTCTTGTCTCATCGGGTGCCGCGTGCAAAGGCCTTGCACTCAGCACTTCAGATCAGAGTTCCTCGTGTGAAATGGCTATGCAGACTACTCAGCTTGTCTGGGATAAGCACCACGCACAGCACTGCTATCCACTCTTTTTTTTTTTTTTAAGGTTCTTTTCCCATATAGGCCATTACAGAGTATTGAGTAGAGTTCCCTGTGCTATACAGCAGGTCTTATTAGTTATCTATTTTATATATAGTAGTGTGTATATGTCAATCCCAATATTCAAATTAATCCCTCCCCCTTAAACAGATCGACATTTTATATCTAGTTTATTTTGAAGACTAGTCTAAGAAGTTACCTTGCTCTAGATCAAAAATTCACTGGGTACTCTCTTGGGATGGCTTTGTAGTTAGTGATTACACTTGCTGTATGTTATTTTTAGAAAAACAGTGTTTCAACCTTAAAGAACTTTGAGGCCCCGCAGTAGAGCAGACCCCAAGTTACTTTTTACAAAGACCAGGCTCCCCTATGCTTACTCTCTTGGGCCTTCCTCCAAAACAGGGTAGGGTGGCCTTCTATTTAAGTTCCAGGCACTGTTAAGCCCCTCCCTTTTCATAAAATGTAAATCTAAGTCCTCCTCTCTTTGCCGTTGCAATGTTTCTGACTGTATATCAGGCCAGCACGTAAAATAACTAATTCCAATATTTATCAATTACACTGGGGCTAATATTAGAACAAAGTATATGAAAGATTGTTGAAGGAAGTGCAGTTTTTTGGTTTCTCAAAATCAGCGGTTTCTACAGATCCATAAATGCCTAAGATCTTCATATATGGTTTTCCATGTACCCTTCCTATCTTCCTGAACATGAGCTTTAGTCAGGTTTTCAGGAGAGTCAGAAACCGCTGCTCTAGATTTTCTGTAATGTGTTCCCCAATCAAGCCAGAGTTGAGAACCTGACACGTGCCACTTTCCTCTGGCCCCCATGAAACCCATGGCTGAACTTACTCTAAGGATGTTATCAAAATATTGCTAATTCCATACAAGTTTTTCTTATGAAAATTCATAGAATATATTTCTTTATGGCATTACAACTAGGAATAGATGTGAACGGATTGTTTTCCACGAAGAGTAATATACGCTGTTCGTTATTAGCTGCTAGAAAGTTTAGGGCCAAGCCCTTGACCCACCTCCAACATAAGCAGTTAGGACTTCGCAACATATATTTTGTGTTCCTTGATATTGGGGTCTGAGAGATGGACGACTAAATAACACCCCTTTCCTCCTGCCTGGCTTCTAAACTATGTGAGAAATCAATACTGGAGACAGAGAGATGGAGGTCCAAATGTCAGCTTTATTACCAAGTAAAGCTGGGTGGGAGAACTCAGCTGAGGAGTGAGGAGAAATGGACCGGTAACATTCCATCCTGACTTCCACAGACTTGCCCATCGAGTCACAGATTGTGGCTGAAAGGCCTCGCCCTCCTCTACAGGGGGATGTGAAGTCTCTGCAGACAGGCACACTCTCCCCAGAGGAGAGAGCATCTCAATCCTTTATCCCAAAGGCACAATCAGAAAAACCATCTGGCCCTGGAACCTGGCTTACCTCCCCGAATGAGGGGCTGGGGCAAGAGGCAGGAGCATGGCTCTATGGAGACCCTCCCATATGGGGAGGGGCAGCCGTTACCCCCAACACTGACCTTTCTCCTTTTTTCTTTCCGACCTTCATTCTCCCTTTGCCCAATTTCCTTAACTGTTTAGCTAATTGCATCATATATATTTTTGTAAAATTCTTTACATTCTTTTTGGAATAGCTTGGGTCAAATAATTTAACTAAAGAATTTATTCTAAAATCGTAGGAATCCTAATATTTTTCTGGCATGAGATAGCAAGACTCCACACATTTAGAGTGCTTCAAGAGGAAGGCACCAGAGGAGTCTGGAAATGAGCGAATTTTTTTCCGGGGCCTCTGTGTGCCTTGTCTATCTTTAATACCAGCTTTTTAAGCTCTGTCTTTTAAAAACCCAAAGAGATCTATACTTCAAGCCTATTAACATGTGTTGCCTCAGAGTAGCTATCGTTAATATCTTTAGTGAAGACAGATATTACAAAATGTTCTATCACAAACCCACTTTGTACAGGTAACCAAAAAATAGATAAGTCGGTCTTCATTAAAATGAAAGATTTTTGTGCATCAAAGAAAACTATCAACAGATAGAAAGACAACCTACAGAATGGGAGAAAATATTTGCAAATCATATTCCTGATATATATGTAGAATATCCAGACTATATTAAAAAAATACCAACTTAACAAAAAAAAATATTAAACAATCCAATTCAAAACAGGCAAAGGACTTGAATAGACATTTATCAAAAAAGGATATACAAATGACCAACAAACACATGAAAAAGATGCTCTGCATCAGTAACCATCAGTGAAATGAAAATCAAGACCACAATGAGATACCAGTTCACACTTACTGGGATAACTGCAATTTTTTGAAAATGGAAAATAACAATTGTAGAAGAGGATTTGGAGAAACTGGGACCTTCAGACATTGCTGCTAGGAGTATTTAGTGGTTCAGCCACTGAGGGAAATAGTTTGGCGGTTCCTCAAAAAGTTAAACATAGAATTACCATATGAACCAGCAACTCCACTTCTAGGTAAAATCCCAGAAAAAAATTGAAAACAGGGACTCAAATGAAGACTTTTACAGAAATGTTCATAGCAGCACTCCTCGCGATAGCCAAAAGGTAGAGAAACCCAAATGTCCATCAATGGATATATGGATAAACAAATTATGGTACTTTCATATAATGGAATATTATTCAGCCATAAAAGCTAATGAAGTGGGCTTCCCTGGTGGCGCAGCGGTTGAGAGTCCGCCTGCTGATGCGGGGTACACGGGTTCGTGCCCCGGTCTGGGAGGATCCCGCATGCCGCGGAGCGGCTGGGCCCGTGAGCCATGGCCGCTGAGCCTGCGCGTCCGGAGCCTGTGCTCTGCAGCGGGAGAGGCCACAGCGGTGAGAGGCCCGTGTACCGCAAAAACAAACAAACAAACAAACAAACAAACAAACAAAAAGCTAATGAAGTACTGATATATGTTACAAAATAGATGAACCTTGAAAACATTATGTAAGTGGAAAAAAGCCAGACACAAAAGGGCAAGTATTGTGTGATGCCACTTATATGAGGTACCTAGAATAGGCAGATTCATAGACAGAAAATAGATAAGAGGTTACCTGGGGAAGGGTGAGAAGAGGAGAGGTATAGGGAGCTATTGTTAAGTGGGTACAGAGGTCCTGTTTGGAGTGATGAAAGAATTTTGAAAATAGCAGTGATAGTTGCACAGCATTATGAATGTAATTAATTCCACCAAAACGTACACTTCAAAATGTTTAAAATTTTGTCATATAAATATATATATATATATATAAAACATATAAATAGCATTTTATGTTATTAAGTGTTAATATTAAATTAAACAAATTTTAGTTATATATTTTACCACGACAAAAAAATAACCATTCAAAATTGACAACAGTTAAAATTGTATTTAGGGAATCTAACAGTCTTTCCTTTACTTTTCTCAGCAGACACCTTGCTGGAATAGTGAAATGCAATGGCGTTTAAATAGTTAAATGCAAACGCCATTTAACTTTGATAAAGTTAAGTTTATCAAATTAAACTTTAAATAATAGATGTCGATATTTTAAAATAAAAAACCAAGATGATTAGCAGGTGGCGAGACAGCTTTTTTCTGTGTTTCCTTCTGAAAGTAACAGGAAATAAAAATGAAAAGCAGGTAGATTTTGCTGCCCAAAAGAATGTATAGGGGCTTCCCTCGTGGCGCAGTGGTTGAGAATCTGCCTGCTAATGCAGGGGACACGGGTTCGAGCCCTGGTCTGGGAAGATCCCACATGCCGCGGAGCAACTAGGCCCGTGAGCCACAACTACTGAGCCTGCGCGTCTGGAGCCTGTGCTCCGCAACAAGAGAGGCCGCGATAGTGAGAGGCCCGCGCACCGCAATGAAGAGTGGCCCCCGCTCGCCGCAACTAGAGAAAGCCCTCTCACAGAAACAAAGACCCAGCACAGCCAAAACTAAATGAATAAACAAATGTGGGGCTTGTATAACTTATAGTTACCATTGAATTGTGGTCAAATCTCATTATTCACATCCCACGAAAGGGATGTTAGCTAGTTTAAGTTTAGTCAACTGGTGTTGATATTAACACGTGGAATGCAGCGAAATCTTTCCCAGTGTTGTTGGGAAACCATTTACCCCTTCTATTCCTTGAATGTTTAGTTTCTTTCCTTAGGAGCTGCCAGTATTATGCAGGTAACACAGGACCTCACCATCATCCCCTTTAAGCTGCAGCATTGCAGACAACGGTTCACGTGCAACCCTGCTTCTTTTGCAGAGCATAGGAAACTTGGAAACATGACTGTGACCGTGAAGAAGACCGTCCCCTCTCCTGAGGCTGTGCAGATTCTCTACCAGCGAATGAGATACGAGTACGAGTTCTACCACTACGTCAAGGAGCAGTTCCACCTGCTGAAGCGCAAGTTCGGACTGAAGTCCCGGGTCAGCCACCCCGTACTGAGACCCCAGTTCTTCCTTCCGACCCCACTGGAAACAGAGGAGCCGATTGATGACGAGGAACAGGACGATGAGAAGTGGCTCGAAGATATTTATAAGAGGTGATGCCAGCTCTGTGTTGCCTCCAATGGCTTAATCTCCCTTTCCAGAAAGTTTTTTGTTTGGGGAAGAAAAATCCTTAAGGGATGAAATTAATCCTCGGCAGCCTTAAAAAGAACAAAACGTTCCCACAGGTTGGGGTCATTGGGAGATGCCCGGTTTTGCGGGTTTTATTTGTTTGATTTTATTCTGTGTTTTTCTGGCTCCTTGGGTCCTTCTGAGGTACACGACATGGCTCCGTCACAAGGCATCTCGTCATAAAATAGCTTTTCTTCCCCTAGCATAAACGAGAGAAAGCGGAGAAATAGAGCCTATAGCCCAATAACTTATCATTTGTAAGATGACCCATAAAAATATTACCTCAGTGGTAGGAAACCTCCAGACTTGTATATTTCAGTAGAAACACAAAACCAGTTCAGAGACCAGGGAATCTACTCTAGAAGGATCTAAGAGGAGGTCAGACAGATAAGGACATCAGAAGGAAGGATGTCCCTGGGTAAGTGGTTTCTGCCCACATGGGTAGAATTCTGCCTCTGGTCCATCTCAGGGGACACTTTCACCAAGAGCAGCACACTTATTATCTCTGAAAGAGCAAGTAGGCTTGTGCCACACCCTTCACCAGTCTAGAGCCTTGAGTACCTCTCAAGGTCAAAGCGCACGGCAAACTCCATTGAGACATTTCATTTCCGAGCACCATTCTGACAGATTTCAAAGTAGCATAGCCAGGAAGAGTTTGTTGGCTGTGTAAAGAAGAGAATAGGCAAGACAGATCAACTCTGGAGGACATGTGGCCTAGGAAAATGGCATGGCTGTGTCCTTTGCACCCTATATGAAGCATGTCTCTTACCAGCATTGCTTTAACTGGAAACCCAGGAACCAATTTAGCTCTGACATTTGACTCCTGTGGCATAAGTTCCAAGTCTGACCACAGACGATGCAGGATCTATCAGGCACACCCCTGGCCAGCTGTGTCCCAAAGTAGCTGGTATCTTTTAACCTTCTAATCCCTTAAGAGGTACTTGTTTTTGGTGTTTTGGGGGCTCAGAAAGGGATACTGAGTTCTGTGCAGGCAGCAGTCGAAATACAGTTCCACTTTTTATGGAAGCAAGTCCCTGCTGAGAACCCTTACTAGGACATCGGGAAGAGAAGCAGGAGCTTCTGGGTAAGAGACTGCTTGGCTAGATTTATGAGTAGTTGTCTGCCCCCAATGTGATCCGAGTAGAAGTCGGACAGTTCCATTCCTCCAAAATATCTCTTCCCCATCCCATTCCCATCACCTGCCCATCTCCGTGATGCCTTGGTTCAGTCATTAGAAATCTATTTCTTTGGATTTGAGATGTTTTCATCTTTGACCACCCCCACCCCCGAAAATACATACACTCTTGGGTGGATAATATACAGCCAGCTGAGAAGCAGGGGTGCAGGTGCTGGTGACAGGCAAGGTACTTGGGACAAATTCTGTCTCCTTCATGGTTTTTTCCCCTAGAGCCAGCCCCTCAAGAGCACTAGCAAAGTGTGAGTTGGGAAAAATAGTGAATACGACTCTGACTTTACACAAGCTACACATTTTCTGCTTTTCAGAAACCAGCAAGTCTCTCTAGAATTTTTTCTTCGTTCACTAAAATTGGACGGTAGCCAAGATATAAAGCAAGTCATTTGGAACCTGTCAAGTGTGCACTAAAGCTACTTTATTATGAGATGTATTGAGAAGGCTCCACCCCGCAGGAGTCCAGTGAAGGCTGGGACCACAGAGGCACAGAGTCCAGCATTTGGCCACTTGTGGGCCTCCTTTCTGCCTCAGAGAACTGGGGCAGGGAAGTGATGAAGGGAAGTGTTCTTAGAAGAGGAAATATCCTTTGTCCTGTTTAGAGAGACCAGGGCCCTACCGTTAGGCTTACTTTAAAAATCAACCCAGAGAAGAGCTATCATACTCAACAACAGAGCACGAGCTGCTGCCTGGTACCTTGTGAGTCCATTCCTTTGAAATCGCATATAAAGAATGATCGTTAGTTAACACACTGTGCAATCTCATTATCTGAAAATAAGGTCTGCTAAGTGTTCTCTGCTGTTGTCAGCACATCAGGACAATTCGTCATTTAAAAAAATGCGTCCTCTTAGTGCAAGTTCACATGGGCACTTCTACCTGTGTGTTCAAAGGCATTTATTGTCAGCAGTGATCATTATAACATCACAGCGAACGAGGCTGGCTGATTTACTTACAGGGCCTTAATGTAATTTTGCCCCAGCAAACAGCCTCTAGGCCCTAAAAGTCAAGGCACTTCATCAGTTTATCTGGCACACACGACAACGTTTCTTTGGCCCTGAGCCCAACAGTTTGTATTTCATGAAATATATTGTACATTTTACATAGTTTAATTTAAAAAATACATTTTAAGCTGGTTGATCTTTGACTGCCTTATTTATTATAAGCTTTCAGCACATTCCAAGGTTTTAGTTACTCAGGAAGGAGTTAATTAAAATGATTTTATTTTGGTCTGATGGATGTTTTTTAAAAGGAAAATTATTATTATGAACCTTCAGCCTACTTTCCTTGAGTGCCGTAAAAGTGCTTGTAAATTGTTTTGTTTTGTTTTTTAAGAAGAAAAAATGGTGTTTGACATTGATGGAAATTCAAAAATATATATGGAACTGAAACATTAGCTTAGCTAAAATAAAAGCAATCTGTGTTTGAGATGAAGTGTTCCTTAACTTATTCATTACCCGTATAAATAAATGAATATAAATAAGTTGAAATTTTTTCCATTCTGTCGATAGCTGGAGATCAAGGTGCCTGCAGATCCTCACTGCCCCCTCAGCCTTCTTAGTAGGCCAGGCTTCTTCCTTAAGATGTGATTTTGGGAAAGATGTATTTTTAACAATCTAGAAACTCTTATAATTAGATGACACTAAACACCTGCTGGCTTCGTTGCAATGTGCACTGGTTGGTTGGGTGTCAGGGTGCTTCATCGGAATCCCCAGCCATGATAGTGGGGTATCTATGCTGCCCACCTGCAGTCACGTGGGAAAATAAGGCTGTGCCATCCCACGTCGCTCGGCGAGTACTCTGATCTCCTTCCCAGGCATGTAGAGCCTCGAAAGGTGGGTGATTCTAACCTCCCAAGTGAGCAGCCTCTAATGCAGAAATGCTCTTCCTGAGAAGTTTCACTGCTGCATCAAATGGAACTCACAGAGAGAGAGAGAGAGGGAATCCCCATGCTTTCTAAATACTGGACACTCCAGTCCAACTCCATGTGACTATTTTGTAAAAGAAAAGAACCAGAATCTTGGTACTAGATGAAAGAAAAATCCATTTTGGTAAAAATAGCATGCTTAACTCCAAGTAAGAATCTGAGAGTCTTAAACAGCAAAGTGATAAGTGGTTACCTTTCTTTTATCAGTTAATTTGTCTGTAACCCAGTCACAAGATGTTTGACTCTGAGTGAACTTTAAAGGCAAAAGTACTAAACAAAACCAGGACTCTGCCCCCTCTGGAGCTGCTTGTGTGTTCTGAAGTTCGTTATAAATGCGGGCTTATCCAATGAGCTGTTTGGCCTCAAATGAATTTTATAGGTAATGGCAGTCTTTCTTAAAAGGCAAAATGATGATCCGCAGAAAAGTTAGAGCAGATGAAGTAAACTCCAACTAGGAGAGAAGCAAACCTAAAATCACAGACCACTAGGGCTGCAATGGGGCTCAGCAGTCATCTGGTCCTTTCCCTCATTTTACAGATGAGGAAACCAAGGTCCAGATGGGAGATGCAAATACATCACGGGCTTTTTCCATTCAGAGTTTAATTAACTTTTGAGTATCTACCAAATTAAAACCATAAAATAGTGATGGAGCCAGAGTCCATCTACTGACCTAGAATCCGGAGTGGAAATGATGAGGCACATTTAGCCGCTCCCAGTACCACCTGCCACCTGAAGGGAGCACAGCAAGCTGCCCTCTGCAGCTCTCCTAGGAGCTGGGGGTGTAGGACCCTCTTCCACAGAGGGAGGCCCTATTGGTTTTCAAGCACTTACGTCCTCAGAAACTGGTGTCAGATACTCTAGATTTTTCTCTCTACTCAGAGGTTCTTGTTTTTGGATAAACAGACTTGAACCACGTTTGCCGATCTCAAATTACAGAGTTTCACTTTTCTTAGAGGCAAAATGAAAAGTCATGTCCTACTTCCTGTAAGGCGTTTTAGATGGACCCATCTCAACAAATAAAGTCAAATGCAGCTCATAAAACTAGTTGAAGGTGAGTGCAGACATGCCCTTGGAAAACCAGAACTAGAGGATAACCAGGCCCTGATCACTCGCAGGCCTCCCTGCTCACCGACTGTTCCACTCGAGAATTCCTTTCTGCCTAGGGCAGGCTTGGCTCACAGCTTGGGCACTGCTGATTCCCAGGGAACACCCAGGCCCACAGATGTTCATGGGTCACAGAATTGTGAACTGACCACTTGTGCATTTTGGATTTCAACTTGTAAACATGGGGATTCCCTTTTTTAAAAAAAGAAAGAAAGAAAGAAAGAAAGGAAAAAAAAAAAAAGGAAGGGAAGAAAAATCACCACGCAAAGGAAAACTGTGAGCTAAGTTTTTCCTTTTGGAATCTTGGCGTGTGGGTGTAGCTATCTTCAATCTGGCTTTTGCCAGACACTGTATGCTTTGGGCAGGCATGGAGCAATCTGCCTTACGCTGCACTGCCAGAACATTCAGACTTGACCTGTAACACGCCTCATTCCAGTCCTGAGCAGGGACAGCCGGGAGGATAGGCTGCGCCAGACACAGCACACTGACTGGTGCAACTCAGAGAAGAGGCGAAAAGCAGGAAGCAGAGCGTTGACTGACTGGGGCAAGCAGCAGAGTCCCCAAGTCCAAGTCTCAGATGGTCTATTTCATTGGGCATTTGAGCAAATCACTTGACCTCCCCACACCTGAAGTCAACCCAGCTGGAAAGCGCTAGGAAGAACATAGGATGTCCCTTGACAACGAAGAGCTGCTTCTGGGCTGAACCTTGTCCCACCCTCTACCCCCATATGCTAAGAGACTAAGAACCACAGTCCTTCTGGGGCTGCGTCCCCAGCAAAAGAGAATAGAATTACACATAAGTCCAGATCCATTGATGCTCCCAATCCCTCAAGTCTTCCAGTGCAGTTGCCCAGTGTACCAATGAGTCGAAAAGCAGCACTTCCGAAATGTCAACGGAGCTGATAGGAAGAGGCTCATTCTACTGGATGTGAGTCAGTGTTATTATCCAAGACAAACCACTCTGTGGATTTCCATTTTTCTCAACACTCCCTTTGGGAGTTTATCTAGCTGTGAGTTATAGGATTCCTCTTTAACTTACAGCTTCTACTAAATACAGGCTTCCTCCAAGTCCTTTGAAGTACCCTGTGTCTGTGATCCTATTAATAAGGGGCTTCTTAGACCATCCTTGCGAATTAGCACAGGTCGTGTACAAGGAAAAGTTTCAATAAAAGTTGAAAACCTGACAGGACGGGTGCTGTACTTTTTGGAGCCTTATTTCTCATTCTCAGAAGTGGCATCAGTGCTATGATGTGGGAGAAATCTGGTAATGATTTTGTGGGCTGCTGATGTGTTCAGCATGGCCCATCCTTCTGAGGGCCTTCCTTCCACTATAGGACAGCCGTGGTTTGAGACTTTAATACGTTGGTTACTAATGTTTCACATGCAAAGGAGAGCTATGACACTAACCGCAAACGTCCTTACAGCCACCCTATTTGCTGCTTGTATCAAATGTACTGCTTTCTTTCCTCCTTTCCTTGGCACACTCTCCTATGTGTTCTCCATCTTTGATTGAAAGTTAATGAAATTCTAATCCAGTGCATGTTCCCAAAGGATAATTCACGAACCAGGTGTGTGAGATAGGCGTGGAAAAAAACCTTGTGTTAATCTGGGAAATGCCGAAGTTCAAAGACTAGTGTCATACAGTACAGTGGTACTTTAAGGGCCTGGAGGAATGCTAAGGGCCTGGAGGAGTATTGCAGTTAAAAAAAACAGTTTATTTTGTCAAACCCTACATTTCTCAGAACTAAGACCCATTAATAGCCTGTGGAAATAGTGTTCTGGAGATTATGCTTTGAGAAGCATTGTTTTAATGTAAGTCATTTCCTTCTCATTGGAAGAGTTTCTTTCCCTCTGCTGTGGTTCATTTTTTGGTCTTCCAATGGTCCATGTATCCTGCTTGAGGAAAATATATTTACCGATGATCAACATTTTGACAAATAGAAGATGAAGGCGAATAACGTGTTTAGTAAAATAATTAACAAGGAATCATATTCTAATTTTGCTTATTCGCCCTAATTTCAATTCCCTTCCTCATGAGAAAGTCTTTTTAAAATTAAACTTTTTATGCTTTTTAATATGATTTGGGTACCTCAAACCAATTCAGTCCTTCCATGACAATGGTGCTCAAATCAAATTGGGTAACAGACATCTGCACCCTATCTTCCCTGGTCTGTGGTTGGTTATACAGTAGGAAAGAAACAGTGGCAAAAGAGAGATCTCAAGTCCAGATAAGGTTGGTGTTTGGAGATTAGAACTCTCAGCTCTTGAACTTGGGCTCAGCTTTTGCACACTGGGGCACCTGTGTTGTTCAGCACACTAGGGGGAGCCGTATCCATAACAATTTACTCGAGAAATTCCAAGGTCTTTCCAAACCTAATTTTTCTCCCATACCTGCTTATTTTCCTTCAATGCTTTAGGGTAGTATGGGTGAGGCAAGTCATGGTTAAGGTATTTAAAACACAACATACACACTGTCAACTGAGCAATAGGTTATTATTTCTCCCAGGCTGTGTAACCTACTTTACTTTTGTTGCTCTTGTTCTAAAATCACTATAGTATTTTTAAAATCAGTCTTTATCAGACAATCTTTCCTGAGTGTGTTGTATAATTACAACAGGATTGAAACTCTGATTTGATGAGTCACAAGAGGTGACTCATGTGATG